CTTAGCTGACACACAAGAAATAGTACAAGAAAAGGGAAAAGAAGAAATATTTACAAAAAGAAATGAGATCCCCATCAAAAACATACTGTAAAAATATTGCAAGTCTCGCAACGCATCTCTCTACCGCAAAAAGCTATGAGATATAATGTAAAACCAAGTCGGTTAATTTATTCATTACCTATCTATGGAAGCATCTATCCGACAACTTTGTCATAAATCGTTACCGAATTAGTTAAGTTTACAACATTTTATAGTGACCGTATTAATATTAGATATATTTATTTCTTTAATTAATAGAATGACTTGGCCATCGCACATGATAACAGAACCTACAAATAACAAAATTTACCTAATATTAACGTTCTGAGTGCATTATTTATGTATTGTTAGTGTATGCATCAATTTGACCCGCTAGTACTATGTTCCGTTCATCTCAGCCCAAAACACGTCCACAGCTGGGCATAGGCCTCCCCCAAAAATTTCCCACGACAGAAAACCAGTCTTGTGCCATCCGCATCCAGTGGGCTCCAGCGACTTTGACCAAGTCGTCCGTCCACCTTGGTCATGGTATTTTTAATTAGGACTATTTAAAGTAGTAGACTCTTATGTGATTATGTTTCCGTGCGATGGCCAAGTCATTCTATTAATTAAAGAAATAAATATATCTAACATTAATACGGTCACTATAAAATGTTGTAACTTAACTAATTCGGTAACGATTTATGACAAAGTTGTCGGATAGATGCTTCCATAGATAGGTAATGAATAAATTAACCGACTTGGTTTTACATTATATCTCATAGCTTTTTGCGGTAGGGAGATGCGTTGCGAGACTTGCAATATTTTTACAGTATGTTTTTGATGGGATCTATTTGTCTGTATAGGTACTCGTAACTGTGCGCATTACACGTAAAAAGTACTATATTCGCTAAATTTACGAATTTTAACAACATTTTGTGTAGTGAAAACTTTTTACTCTGATCAACCTTTAGGATGCTTTTTACTGCAGGAAAAGGTCTACAGAAAAGTCCGGTATAGCAAATGTCTGTTTCCTAAGGTACACAATCTCTCATTAACTATTTTTATCTAATAATACTTTCTTAGATTTACGCGAATATTTGATATTTTAAATAAAACTATCTTTTCGGATTTTTTCGCGGATTTATTTGGATTTCGTCGAAACTTCGGGAACTAAAAATCCAAATAAATCCGCGGAAAAATCCGAAAAGATAGTTTTATTTAAAATATTTTTATCTAATTAACATACCTAGGAATAGGACGTACCTACTCGAGCGAAGCAAGGATATGTCGCTGGTGTATAATAAAGATGCCTATGATACTATCTCATCGATATTTCAGTGTAAAAATAAAGTATATTCAAGTCGTTCACTTGCTGTCTGAAAGAAGCTAATTAAAGAACAAGAAACACGCTTTCTATTTTTGTAAATATAAATATATGGATAAGATAATGTAATAAATATATATGTATATGTAAAGAAAAAATATAGAAAAATCGCTACAGTAATTTAGTGAACTAGCGAGCTCTGTTCGGTCGTTGGGTCTGGAGAAAATTGCATTTCACGCCTGGCCTCGCCGACTGCGGGTCGCGTGTAGCTGACTATCTCGTTTATGGCAACAATTTCAAATAAAATTCGACGTTATAGTCCTTTCGAGGTGCTTACGAATTTTTTAATATGTTGAGTAAAGATTTTTTAATTATACATAAGTATATACAATATACAATTTTTTTTTGGCAGTGGTAGCCCAGTAGTAACGCGCTCGCTTGAGAAACCGAGTGAAGCGTGTTCAAATCCCGGGTCTCGCACACCTTATATTTTCATGTGCGAATCATTTCTAACATGATTACCACTTACTTTACGGTGGAGGAAAACATCGTGAGGAAACCTGCATGTCTAAAAAAACCTAGCAAGTTTTCAAAAGACATGTGAAGTCCACCAACCAGCACTTGGCCAGCGTGGTGGACTACGGCCTGATTCCCCTCGTACTGAAGGGAGGCCCGTGCCCAGCAGTGGGACGTTAAAAAGGGCTGAATACAATACATATACTTATGATGCAATTTAAGAGGAAATAAAGTTTATGGAGGAGTCAAGTTTCTGAATTACTATAGAATTTATATTACTGTAAAGTAGTACCTAAATGAATTACAGTAACATTCATGGACATATAAAATACACAACATAATATTAAAAATTTAAAAGCAACAAAAACGTTTTATATACATAGTTTCATTTAATTTACGAAGTGCTAGCTCCGACATAGTTCAAAATTGGATATTTTCATAAAACAGATTTTTACTTTTTCTATGCTCTACGTCTTAATTTAACAAACACCTGTCGCTTGAAAACATTGCACAGACATTTTCAATATAACAATTTATAGTAGGGGAGCCCAAGAGGGGATTTTCTGTAGTTACTCGAGCGCGGCAGATTAACATAAAAGAGGTTACCTTGCACTCTATTGTGTACTTTCACCACAATATAAGTCTTCCATATAAAGGGGCGCGTCTGGGGAAGCCGATTAAAATATTTAAAAAATGTTTTGATAAGATAAAAATACTTGAAACCGTCAGATTAAGGTGTGGTAGGCTAGTCACATCCTGAAAAGTGTCCAATTCAATAATCTGCCGATTTGCACAAGCCTAAGAGGCAAAAATCATCATAAACTTTATAGTCGAGATTTCGCAAAGTTACTGCTTTATTATAGTATAGAATATAGATTATAAAACATTCTATTTCTTGTAAAAAAACAGTAAGTAAACTCAGAGTAAACAGTCGTGCGTCGGGGCTGACACATATTTTTTTATCATAATATGTATTTAGTTTTAAAGTCAAAGTATAAAATGGATTTATCTATGTACATATAATAAAATTGTAACTAAGCCGAATTTGTACATTAAATATTTTTTTGAAAATCTTATTGAAATAAACATTATTATCGATACAGAGGCCGAATCTATAGTTTTTAGAATTTTTGTCTGTCTGTCTGTCTGTTACCGCATCGCAGAAAAACCACTAGAGCGATTTTGATGAAATTTGGTATCATGGTAGCTGGTTATCCGAGTCAACATATAGGAAACTTTTTTACTTCGGGAAAATATCTTATTTCTGAGAAAAACTACAATGTAAGCGTATACATTATGTAAAACCTAAGAATTTGGTTTTTGGTCATCTAAACGCGGGCGGAACCGCGGGCAACGCTAGTTTTATAAAACTAGCGTTGCCTATAGTTGCTGTCTGACTATAGTCAGAGTTCGGCAAATAAAACAAGTGATTTAGGTACATTTATTTCCAACATCAAATTGTCTTTATTTAATTTTATGAACCTAGTTTTGTACTACAAGAGAAAGATCAATAATAACATCTATGTACAAAAAACAAAATATATAAACTTCTTATACGCACATACAAAATGCGTTTCTATTGATTTTAAGATAATAGAATCCAAGAAATATTATGTAAATAAATAAGAATTTAGGCACTGCACGTGTTACACTTCCTTATATCACATTCATAGATCTCTATTAAGAGTAATTCATTTATTCTAGTAAGCGTCTTACTTTTATTAAGATTTATTATCATAGATTTTTATTCTTCTCAAGAAATACACATGCAATTTTTATAACAATCTAGAAATGAATAAATTCAATAGTCACACACAATCTAAATGAAAGCAAAATTTAACTACATCATATCGGAAATGAGACGAGGCCTAAAATTTCCGACTCAGTTATGCGTCTATTTCATATTTTGATGTGTTATTTTGTTGCTCATTCTCCACGTTACCATTGTTTTTGATAAAATTATACTATTTATACAACCACTGTGAAAATAGATTTGTTGTTCAAAAAGATATGTTTATAAATTTCAATTTGTGTTATTTACCTAATTTATAGTATTGAAAATATTCCTTTCTTAAAACTTTGCACAACTTTCATATATTCTTTTTCATTTATTTGCCATTCAGATAGACTTTATTAATCATTTGAAATACACAAATCAATTATTGTTAGTTTTACTTATGATAGAAGATATTGCTCAAATATTATTAAAAAAATATTTAAATAACCCTAAAAATAATAGATAACGTTGAAACACATTCTAATACTGAGTATGAGTTACATATCTACCACTTTTAGATTTAAAATTAAATACGATAATAGTTATAATTGAGATCATCATATTATATATTATCATCATATAATATTTAATAAAGATTTATTTTATTTAATAGTAAATATTAATATGAAATGATAAAAATCACCATTCGCGCACAGTAAACTTTTGTATTTTGTTACTATGTACATAAAACATCAACCATCGTCATAATAATATTGTCATAAAAATTACGACGAATTAGGTAAAATAGAATCAAAAGGTGCGGCTAAACTTGTTATACAATGGTATACCTTAAAATATTACCCAAGTCTTTTAAAGGTATAAAAAGGGTTTTATAATTAGAAAAATAGAAATGAAAGAAGAAAATAAAGGCTCCTTAAATTTGGCACATATTAGCTCCAAAGATGTGGAAAGTCATTTTCTGTAAAAAGTATTTCTAAAAAATATTTTCAATTTGTTACTCTAGTTGAAAAATATTATACAGTACTCGATATAAATTATATATTTTGCTTAGTTAAAGTTAAATAATGATATTTTTATAAGATATCTGATTGTGAGAATGTGCGGATGTAGCATCTCTCCCTTACTTCCTAAACAGTGACTAGATAAACGACTAATTAATATTCATCTAACAATAAATTACACAAAATATCTTGATATGTACAGTTAATAGTGATCATGCACACCAAGTACGTAAGTAATGTACACAAACAAAAAATTAGTCAAATGAACAAACTTTTATAATAGTCATACTATTTTGAAAAAGAAGTGTTGAACGACTACAAATCTTAGGCTTAAAATAAATTAAATCCGAGAATCCCGTTGGAATTTTCCTACTGAGCAGATTGGAATTACGGTCACTTAACTGTTAATATTATTTTTTAGACTGTAAGAGCTCGGTTGCGATGCTTTCGCTGGCAGCAATCGTTCGGTCACTTCACTAAGATCACTGGCTGAGTATCTGTTTCTTTTTAAGTTTGGATACTTTTCTTTATCTGTTGATTTTTGTACTGGCGATTGTTGTTCAAGTTCGGTTGTGCTTCCACTCAGACTTCTGGCTACTTCCGCTCTATCACTAGCGGTGCTGGACGGAGTTTGACTCCCATTTTCAGATTCAATAATTTGCTCCAATCCACTAGGCCGTCTATTGCGAGTATCGTAGTATTCCACTGTTGGTGGAATGACAGGTCCTAAATGCGCCATCGGATCTAAGCCCAATAAAAGCATCACTGTCGCCGGGTGCTCCATAATGTATTGTGTGACGCAGTGAAGGAATGGTTCCGTTTGAGTACTCCGGGTTATTTTTGGCCGTTCAGGACTAAGTGGGCGTTCTTGCTGCAGAAAGTACATACATAATATTCAGTATTACGGGTATAAACACTAAAATAAATTTAACATATTAGCGGAATATGTAGAGGTGTTTATTATGTTTTGTTTCATGTTAATATTCGTGAAGATTCGAACTGACTTAGGTAGTTCATTTAATGTAAAACAAAGTGAGCGATCGATTTGGTATTTGTAATTAAGTTACCTGATCCCAGCAGAAAACGTCAGGTGGATGGCTGCAACTGCGTGCTAATTGGTTAGGTGGAGCGTTCCACTGAAGGTTTGGATTCGAATGTGCAGCGTGCCACACCGGCCCTGTCATTTCTTGTAATGCTTGAATGGCGCTTCGAACCTGTGAATAAAATCTATTATTTAAAGGATATCCCTAAATAATTATAAAATGAAAACAATAATTAAATAAAAACATTAAAACAACAAGTGGTGATGATCTAGAGCAGGTTTCCTTATACTATTATCGGTACTGAAATTATTGGTATGCCTTAATGTTTTAGTGCCTTAATGTTTAATGTTATAGTGTTACTATTTAAATAATGTGATTAATTTAATATATATTACTAGCCTCCATACTAAGAGCTGCAACATCGTGATGCAAACTGGATACTTGAGTGTCGAGCCTATCAACAGATGAACGAGTGTTATGCATTTCTAAATTTAGACCTTCTAAAGAATCGGATCGCGTAATCTTAGGCGTTGCTACAGAACGTTGTCTTTCAATTCTCTCTCGTAATTCTCTGTGCGTGAGACGCTGTTGTCCGTCGGATCTAAAATTATACAAATTTTATTTCATTCATAAAAGTTTATTTGAAATAAAATCAAACAAATAGAAGTAATTTCTAATCACAATTATTTTATTTTTACCTGAATTTTGCATGACGGGGACTGTTTGATAAAAGAGGTTTTTTTGGTGACATTCCGTTTTCTTCAGCTGCATTTTCATCGTCCTCCGAAATAGATGGCAATGTTAATGAGGGATGTCCATTCCCATCAGATTCTTGTTCTGCTTCGTAGCCCTCCCGTAAATTATATGTAAGATCATGTTGTATATCATGAATAAACTCCTGTTGATATTCAGGATATAAGCGCAACACTTCAGCAAGCCCCACCATATTTATACATTTTAAATCACAGTAAGTTAGAGCCTGTGGATAAAATAAAAAAAATTAAAAAAAAATTAAATGAAGGTAGTATAAAGAAAAAAATATTTTTAAGTTTGCTCGTAGCTCTTTGATTGAAAGTTTATACGAGCGGATAGGTCTTTTAAACTAGAATGTTATAGAAACTAAACTTTAAATAACTTAAATTATTTACAGCCAACCACATAATGCAATAATAACAACTCAAAGAAGTTAAAGTATATTAGTACTAGTTTATGCCTACAGCTGCGCTCACGTATTTATGTATAATTGCTTCGCACCTCACGACTGTAGCCAATATATAAACACACACACACACACACACACACATATATATATATATATATATATATATATATATATATATATATATATATATGTTTAAATCGAACTCGTTAACGTGATAGCGCGTCCAAACAAACAAAAAATAAACAATAATACATATATAACGTAAAATTTAAGCATAACAGATATAAATCTTGACTAACCTTGACATCGCTACTTGATTTAACGACCACGTCAGGATTATTCGACTGTGACGCTCCTGTGCCATTGTAGGCCTGTAAGTGGGTGTTCATATCACATCCCACCAGATCACCTTTACCTGAACAAAATATGCTCATTTTGTATATTTATTTAAATAAATTACCTTTCAATAGTTTCAATCATTTATTACGTATGATAAAGGTCTTTTATTACTTACCTAGTATAGCCACAACCATATCATTTTGCATAACTTCCATAGAACCATTGCAAATGTAATAAATGTAAGTGAGAGCGTCTCCTTTGTGGACTAGGAATTCTCCGGGAGCGCAGAAATTGTTACGAATGTGCAGTGAGAGTAGCTTCAGGCACCCTTGCGATGCCGCCTCGAATATCGGTAGCGATAATATCTCCCGATGCAAATGTAACGAAACATCACCTCTCAGTTCCTCCGGGAATTCTTTAAGAGTCTACAATCAGATAAAGAGCTATTTGTCAATACCCACTCTAATCTATCATGATCTATGAATTGACGACACATTTGGCTCAGTTTGTAGTGACCCTACTTATTGTACCAGCGGTCGCGGGTTCGAGTCCCACTAGGGTCATTCATTTGTGTGATGAACATGAATGTTTGTACTTCAGTCATGGGTGTTCATATTTATAATATGTATGTATTTAAAGTTTTATATATGTAGTGTATCAGCTATCTGGTATCCATAACACAAGCCTCGTAAGTCGTAGCTTACCATGGAACTGTGCGATGTGTATGAATGTCCCAAGATATTTATTATTATTATTATTATTATGAAGCACGAGAATTACGGAATTAATGTTTGAGTAAATGTAAAAAGCAAAAAGCAAATATAATCTCTTTGTTGGTTAATAAAGTTAATTAAGCTATGACATTATTATTCTTAATATAAAAATCTGTGGGCTTTGACTGGATTAAATCGAGTGTTCTATATTTCCACACCATTTAATTCTCATGAACTTTTCTCCGACGTGTCAACTAGGATATTCATTTGCATTTTAGTAATTGTTTGATTGCCTAAAATATTTTATGACTGAGATTTCCTAAATAGATAAATTGAGTATATACAGGAGTTACATTTATAAATTACTAGCGGCTCAGGTGCGCCTCTAGGAAAAAAAAACAAATCTATCCCACGGGAACCGTACACATTTCCGGGATAGCCTAGAGTAGCCAATGTGTTATTCCAGAATATAATCTATCTCTGTGGTAAATTTCATCCAGACCGTTTAGCCGTTCTGGCGTGAAACAGTAACAAACATCCATAGGTACATCCATACTTTCACATTTATAATATTAGTATAGAAGTATAGATAGTCACATACCTCATGTATATCGATACCATGATTGAGCGACCACATTGTTTGAAAGTAGTCTTGCATGCGCTGTTTGAGCTCTTTGGGAACTTGGTTAAGGGTCAGGAAGTCCTTGAGATCTCTCCACTTGCTTTGATACATGGATCGTCGAGAGTACATTCTTTGTATAATTGCTGTCACATTTCCGAACACCACAGCGTGCATGAGAGCTGTGTGATTTTAAAAAATATATTTTAAATATACCTGCTATAAACTTTAAACATTATGTATCTTAATATAAAGGAAGAAATTTTATACAAACATTATTTTCGTTAAAGAATCATTTTAGTTTATGTATATACATATAAGACAAATAGCAGCATCTGCAACATAGCAATTCTTTAATCTTTAACACAGTAAAGCTCGCGTATATTTTCAATGAATAGTTTAAAAGTTTCATACATAGTTAAGCATCTAGCACTTAAGACTTTGTGAAAAATTATTTCAATAAACTCTAAAATTATTTCAATAAACTCTAAAACTCTAAAAATTTCAATAAATTCAATAAACTTTAAATTATGTACCTATTATACTATTATAATATACATGATGTAAATTTACGTTATATTTCTCTTTCAGTTGGCACACAAACTTTTAAATATGTTTAAAAACACCAAATATGTAATTGGTCGTAGTCTACATACGGAAATAACATTTGTTATGTCCACCTTCAAGCTTTATTCCACCACATTTAATTTTTACCACCTGAAGGTTTCGTGGAGCTCCAAGTTCATTAACTTAGCAGCACGAACTAGACATCACTATCGATCAATTATTATCATCCACAATCAATAGATTGTTACAGCGAATACGCTGGGAATATTTTTGGATTGTAGTAAAAAGAAATAAACGTCTTATGGCTATTATGTTTACTTTTCATACAATATCGACTACTAAATATTACTTGAAAACATAACTAAGAATATCAGGCCATATATGGATATAAACATGCACTAATGTCTTACCTCCGATCAGCATAGTAAGAATACTAAATATTTTCTCTGGTAAAGTGTTTGCAGAAACGTTCCCAAATCCCACACTAGTAAGAGATGAGCACGTGAAGTAGAGCGCGGTGACATAGCTTTCACTGTGAGAAATATTCATGATAGGGATTTTTAGACGTTCCGCTAAGTTATTTTTCCATCCTACAAACAATCAGATATTTTAAATACATATTAAAATTATTATTTCGAAGCTTAAAATTAAAAAAAGTAATAGATCGAAGTAGAAAAATAAATAGTATTGATTTTCTTTTACGAAAATATTTAAGAACCTTTAAAGTCTGAAAATATTTTACAGGCAGTAGGTATATTAAGTCTCGAGTAAATTAAATTAAGAGTTGGTTATCTATACGACCATCATATTTTCTCGATATATTTATAAAATATATTGCTATGTAAAGATGATTAACTTTGATGTTAGATACTATACCTATACGCTATATTCCTTGTTGCTTACATTAAAACTCGAAATGTGTTTATTAAATAATGTTATTTTTTATTTTGTTACCTGAAGAGTGTCTTGAAATGATTAGTCTGTTGATAAAAGTTACTCGTATTCATATAAAAAATATACAAAGAAAGGCTTAGGGTGAAACGTGGTTCAGAAAGTATCAACTATTGGCACTTTGAATCGTTCCGCTTGGTTATTGATCCATCTCACAGAGTTTGGTTATTGAATTGGCTACGATAGTCAAATAACTTTTTCCAAATTGAGCTAAATAGAATAAATCTAGTAATAAATTAATTTTAGTTTCTTAATATATCTTTAAAATCTACTTTCTTTTCAAACCAAATTTTCGAACACTTATTACTTACATTTTAAAAAGTTTTAATATTAACTATCACTATTGGGCACTGATATTAAAAGATTTCGTATATTGCTTTGAATTTTTCTGATATCGGTAGTTCACCATGCTGGCTAAACGCGGTTTAACGGACTTTTCATTTATTTTATATTTGTTTCTTCATGATGATTTCCTTCACCATATTAGGTAGTTTCAACTAATAATCGCACAGGAAAAATTTCAAATCTAAAATATTGGATCTAAAACTATAGGACACTTATTTTTCTGTGAAAAAATGAGTACAATATTGTAACTGCTAGTTGAAGGACATATTTCTATACATTTTCATTCCTGCAATATTTTTGTTTCATTAAAATACTTGCACTGGCACATTTCAGTAAAAGCATCTAGAAAATTTATAGCTTATAAAGTTAAGTTCTACAAAGAGGGCGCTTACATGCAGAAAGCAGTAAAAAGACAGTGTCTATTGTTCAGAGCCTTTTCAGTAGTGAGTGTATTTCTTTAAAAAACAATGAACCTAGCCTCCATTGTATTTTTTTGTATAGGTAAGGAAAGGAAATATTTACCAACGTCTATATGGCAAATGTTGTAATAATAGATTGTTCTGATATTTAGTGTTTTTGTTTGGAGTATAATATATTTATATAAATATGTATATTTATTTAATTTTATAAGTTCTTCTGATAAGAGAATAAATATTTTTTTTAAATTCATAAAAAATCTTCTAATATCATTGATATTCAAAAGTTTCATTAAGTAGCTTACCCAAATCCCAGCTTTCATTCTTATGATGTTCCATTTCCTTTTCCGCTATTATGAACCATATACAAGCTAGCCAATGTGCGAGGAGAGTGAAAGATAACATCAAAAGAGTCAGTATGAGAGCGGAATATTGTGAATATCGGTCCATCTTTTGGAGCAAACGAGCAAGGCGTAACAACCGAGTTAGTTTAACGAGGTGAACATTTCCGTGCGTTGATTCCTATACGAAGAAAATGTTTATATGTAATAATTTACTAATACGAAAATTGTAATATTAATTACCTATAAAAGTAGCTTGAAAGCTGTATGTATTGTAATTTAAGCATCTCAGTAAATTTATTTCAAGCTTTAGTACTACTTACCGGCCCACTGTATACATCGGACGCGTAAAGTAGGTCAAAAGGAAGCGCGGCCAACAGATCCACGACAAACCAAGACCGGATGTAATTAAGAGCTATCGCTTTAGAATCCGATACTACTTCTCCCTTCTTACTTACAAATGTCGTTCGAAAATTAAGTACAATATCTAGAAAAATAAAATTTTGTTACTCATTATTCTTTGTAAATTCACGTTCACCAATATATTCAAATGTGTGACGTACCTATAATGAACAGCGCCTCTACAATTACGTCACTGGTTACACTAATTCTTGGATGGTCCTCGTCGACGAAACTTGCATTATAGGGCACCACGACGGCGACATAAAATGTGGCTATAAGAATAAGCCAGTCCCAGAAGGTTTTAAATACGCCATAATGTGAGATAACAAATCTTGACCTTTTTATAGCTGATGTTTTGTATTCAGGCAACGGAGGGTCGGAGGAGTGTAGGAGGTTCTAAAATGATAAACGAGCTGTAATTACGTACAGTTAAACCAAATCCAAATACGACGACAGTAACGTGTTACGAACGTAGTATTCTCAAATGTTTGTTGAAAACATTTCGCTAAATACGATTACCTTACTAACATTGTTGAGTTTAAGTTTCGTCTTCATTTTATCGGGCTTGTAATGTCCTGAAAGTTGATAAAGCACTGCTCTGGAGCGCCGCCTGCCCATGTTCGCGGGCGAGGGCGCTTCTGGATCAAGATTGCCATTCGGGTCTGGAAGTAGGCAACTAGATTCAGCCCGGAACCGAGCGCCCAAAAGTGCCGCTGCGGGTACAAATGGGGATAACGCTAGAGTGACCACGCCAGCCGAAGGCCGCACCGCGGCTCCTGTACGCACAAACCACCCTGTTACTAAAATGACCTTCTAATAAGGGTTCTCACATACGCGATGCTTTTGTTCGCGATGATTATTGTTATTATTTTTACAATTTAAAACACCGTAGGGCCTTTAAGAATGCCCTTTACATACTTTTCTAATATCGTGTGAATATAAATATTTAGTTATAAATACTGTAGTAGGTACCGTTTTTTGAAAAATCTTAGAAAGGCAATTACGAGCACCTGATGAAAATGGTGATAATAAAACACGAAGCGACAATTTTAATTAAAAGCATAGCGTATGACAGCACCTCTTATTAATATTACATACCGTCACACTAATTGAAGATAATATATTCGGTACAAGATTTTCTTGGTATTAAAAGCATTAAGAGACTTTCAAAAGAAGTCGTTCAATGGGCATGCGAGGATAAATGTAATGAATATTCATGAAAAGAAATGTGAATGGTAAGCTCAATGAAAATGGATATAACGAATTACAAAATATTTTGCCTTTACGGGTAATAGAAAATCTTGTATTTATTCAAAGAAGAAAATGGATGAAGGGACAACAAATGTGATGTCCAAAATCGAATTATACGAATAATTTTTGCCATATTACCTTTTAGGCTCTAGATTTTTTAGCTATTACAATTTGTTGTCGCTTCATTTTGTTGCTAAAGAAGCATTAATTTAGCAAAATAAAAAAAAAATAAAATTTTGATTTTATTATACAATAAATGATAAAGTAAAAAAAAATAATTATTCTGTTTATAAAAACATTTTTAAAAGAAATCTTAAAAATATAAATAATCTAATAATTAAATAAATTCGAAATAGCTAACAACAGACATTACTTGGTATAAATCCTTGAAAGAGATTAGATTTACTCGTATAATAGAAGTCATGCATACGTAAAAATCTACTCAAATTATAATTTGCATAAGAAATAACAGTTTTAAGTTTATATTAAGTATTTATTTGTTTATTTCCGCTTAACTGTATAGTAGTGCTTTTATAAATTTCTCAATGAAGATATCTCAATTATTACTATTTTAGGTCCCAAAAACAAGACAATTTTTTGCGTGCATTTCTTTGATCTTATGTTCAACTTCTAAGTTATTGTGCTATTATTAAAATATATATAATAAGCTATTATTTAAGTAATAAATTAATGAATGCAAGGAAAAATGACAAAATTTCGTGTTTAAATGCGAATGTTTAATGTAATGAATTAAGATAGTACCTACTACATTATGAAATTCAAATAATACTTGAGGTATTTAGATAGGAAAATCCGTTATATGTATAGAAATACAGGGTGGTTTCGACAATATATACCTACTGAAGCTAGTAACTGATTTACTCTTTTAATTAAAAGGAAACACCATTTATATCAGCATTTGATACTGATTTTTAATTGTTAGTATCTACGAATTTATTTTTAAAGGATATACCGAGTGTTTTCCATTTTTAGTTTATTCACTGAATTCTTTAGTATTTCTCTAAGAGTGGTTGGTGTATCAGTTGATTTTTTTAAGAATAATTATACAAGTAAATCAGTTAGTAGTTTTTTTTATTTACAAAAATATAATTTAAAGTCACTACATAATATATTCTTTTATACAACGTTTATTACGTTTTCAATGAATAAAAAATAAGTAAGTCTCGTATTGATTTGAGAAATATAGTGTGTACTGAATACATCTAAAGAAGATAAAATACATGGACTACCTAGTAAGTCAAATTTCTAAAATTCACTACAATCTACTCACTTATACACTAATGATGCTAAACAGGCCCCTGGCCTTCATTTCAAACAACTGACACTAGGACATTCCATTAAACACTTTAAACAAACTTTACCGTGCCATGATGTGTAACTGGCTACCACGAGCTGGGTGCTATGGCGATCTATGGGGGCTATGGCGATGGATCTCATAAAACCTATAGCACTAGAGCGTTGAGCTCAGTATACGTACAATTTTAATACCGATAAATATCTTAAGCAAAGTGAGAGAGCAGCCTCAAAAGAGGGGCTACAAGAGGTTTAATTTGGGGTACAATTTACTTTTTTTTTTATTCTTACAGCCTAGTATTTTAGAAGCTCTTACCGCTGTCAAAGTCCTCATTAGTGTTCATGGCGGCCATCTTAGTGTTGGTGATATCCTTGAACGAGGCGAGAAATAAAACCACTTCTCGTTTTTCATTTTTAATTGGGACGATATCGAGCAAACACCAAAATGGTGTACCTGTAATTTTTAAATAGCTTAAATCGCTGCCATAATGCGTATTTGTACACATTGTTATAAATATGTTTCAACAGGTTTGTTTCAATTCTGTGCTGTCTTAGTTAAAACATAATAGGTATATTTAAAAAATATATGATAAAAAGAGAGGAATGTGTATTGTGTAAAATAAACTAAAAATATTATTTTATAACAGGTAAAATTGCGTTAAGATAAAATTGAACAAAAAATATTTATCAGGAAGTTGTTCGTGATGTAAAAGTAGTAAAAATCAAGTTTTTGTATGTGTTTCATTTACATTTCGTATCTAATATATTTAAACGAGCAATACGATTATTTTGTAAAATCTTTTAATTGCTACGCAAACGCTACGTTGTACATGACACTTATCGTCATCAAAATACAGACATTAATAATGAATTAAATAGTTTTATCATACTACTATACGGTAATATTAGTTATTTAAAATTTTAACCTAAATGTTATTTTTTTAGACTTTTAGTATATTTTTATAAGTTTTAAAAATTAATAATTGAACTCACATAGAGTTCAATTACTATAATGAAATACACGGTTTTTTCGCATATCGTTGGCTTACTATTACAAGGTTCTATGTTAATTTTAATGAAGTTTAGTAATTTTTACATAGAACTTCGTTATTTTGTTATCGTAAAAAAAACAACATAGAACTATGTAAAATTGAATATTTTGTAGTTATAGCGCCGCTATCTAGTGGTTTGTTTTTGCAAAACTGTAGCTAATGACACATAGATGATAGAACCTTGTAGCAGTAATAACCAAATAAGTACTAAAATTGTAACATAGAACCTTGTAATAGTGAGCCAACATTATGACAACAACAAACGAGCCAAAAATAATTTTCTGTATAACTATTAAATAGATCTAAACAACCTAAGTTTGTTTTATATTTGACAGTCCAGAAATTACTTTTAAAACAAACGAAACGACGGATAAAAAAGGATACGTAAAGTTTTCACTAGTTATTAACAAGGTAAATAAGAATAAAATATTAAATAGCAAATATTTGATATATAAAATGTATATTTGTTATTTAATAAAAGAAAGTTTATGGACATATTTTGTTAATTAGGTAAATTTTATTCAAATTACGACGATAATAAATAAGCATCAATTTGTAAAAAAAAATAATTTTGTCAAATGGAATCGTAAACCGCTTATTGAGTTTCGTTAACGATTGCGGCTTTGACGACCCAGTGCAACGGTTTGTGAATATTCTGCAAAGTAATTTGTTTTCATATTTTATACTAGCATTGCCCGCGGCTTCGCTCGCGTTCAGATGACCAAAAACCAAATTCTTAGGTTCTACATATTAGTTTACTCTTACATTGCAGTTTTTGTATTTTTTCTCAGAAATGGGATATTTTCTCGCGATAAAAAGTATGCTATATGTTGAGCTGGATAACCAGCTATCAGCATACCAAATTTCATCAAAATCCCTTCAGTGGTTTTTCCGTGATGCGGTAACAGACAGACAGACAGATAAAAATTCTAAAAACTGTAGATTCGGCCTCTGTATTGATAATAATGTCTATTTCAATAAGATTTTCTATAAAAATATCAAATGTGCAGATTCGGTTTAGTTACAATTTTATTATATGTATAGATTAAAAAGAAGATTATTAGTTACTAAAGTATTAAGATGGTACAGTTAATCGTTATATTTCGAGATCGTCCTATGAAATAAGGATTTTGTAGAAAGCTTTACGTCACCACCATTATTATTATTTTTTTACAACAAATAGACAGTCAATCTATATACATATAGAGTACTATTTTTTTTATTAAATCTCATTAGTTAACATTTAGTATTTTGTAACATAAAGTAGAATAAATAAAAAAAAAATAGTGTCATATTTTTTACTTATTTTTCTGGTATCAGTTTCATCAACTTGGTATGGGGTTTAAAATTGACATTTAAATAGAGTCATTTATCATTTAAAAATTATATATGCTTATAGAATAAAGGTTGACATATTTTAGGATATTGGTAACGAAAAGTAATGTTTTTTGTGTATTATTATAGTAAAGTTCAAAAATGGTAGAGGTTTTTCGCGGCGTTTGTTAATTAAGTATTTTTAAATGAAGAGGTCATCAATATAAGTTAAAAAATATACATAATTACTTTTAAGTGATTCACTTATTACTTAGACATATATTAAATAAAATTATCTTTTCTCACGGAAGTGTCTTCCATAGTGCCATGGTTTCCGTGGAGCATTCGAAATATCGGGAATCAAAGGCCAAAATGAATCCACAAAAAATCCTTTAAAAGATACTTCAGAAACAAGTCCAAAAAACTTTATACAACACTAGCAGAGCCCGCGGCTTCGCTTGCGCTAAAACTACAAAAAAACTCTAAAACGTGGGTAGTAGTAACAAAACGTTTCATAAAAATTTTCATCCCATATTTTACTCTCTCAGCGGTTGAATTTTAGAAAACGCTGAAATACGCAACTCATTATTCTCTATACGCAATTCATACGAAATTTCATGCAAATACGTCAAAGAAATAAAAAGTTTCATACAGACTTTTATCCCCTATTTCACTCTCTTGGAGGTTGAATTTTGAAAAATCCTTCCGTAGTGGATGCCTTCGTCATATGAGGAATACGTGTGCGAAATTTCAATTTTCTAGCCTTAAGGGTTTGGCCTGTGCGTATACATAGCTGATACATCAGTCAATCAATATAGATGTCGATATTCGGGTTTTAAGACAGTATTATAGGTACGAATTATTTAAATAGTAAACATTTTTACATTAACAACCCGGTCAATTTAACTAGTGATAAAAGTCTGTTTGGGAAAATTCAGATAAAAGCGAAAATCACACACGCAAAAGTACCAGTAAAATGTTATGAAATCCTGTAAAGACTAATTAATGAGCTGTGCTTGGCTTAAATTAATTCAAATATAAATATTTTTCCTTTCCTCCCTTTCCGTCCCAACTTATGGAATATTTATAAAAGAATAATTCGATTTAAATAAGCAAACTGTTTTAATTAGAGGTTGAAAATGGGATTACATCAATTAAAAGATTGTTTTATGTTTCGACGGTATTGTAAGCTCGTAGACAAATTCTTTATTTTTATTTGAGAGATGAAAAGATACCTATATTTTAGTGCGAAATTAATAATATACGTAGGTATTATGCGAAAGCATTGTATTTATCTATATTAATATGTCTAATCCAGTTCCTACTTAAATCAGTAGTCTTTTTAAATAAGAGAACCTATTTTCCCTATATCATTATAATAATAAAATAAGTAAAATTATTGTTCACTATTTATTTGTAAATATTTTATGTTATTTATATTTTCATATATTTCTCATAATTAATCATAATAATTATAAAAATCTTATATTTGGTAAAGAAACTGTAGACGTTGTCAGCGACAAATTATAGTATAACAAAAAATACGGTGACATGGTATTAAAAACGTATTTTCTCTGCTACTTTATTATATATAGTTTTTTATAAATGTTAGATACATTTATGGTAAAATATATAGGTAATAGGTATGGCCTGTGGAATATTTATTATATTGATTTCAAGAAGATCTTAACGGCAAGCAAAGTAGTTTACGTAGAAGTAAAGCTTTAGAGCAAATATTTGACAAGTTGCTATTAAGTTAGTGAGTTTGAAAAATTATAAGAAAAAAAGGGACTTATACCATTTTTTTTGTAGAATATGAGTTCTAGCTTGAGTTCATGTTTGGAGTCGAGTGCGGCGTCTATTTCGTGGCGGTGATCCTCATGCGTGTCCGGTCCATGTAAGAATTTGCAGGCGCACCCCTTTTGCATGATGTGCGCCCGGGCCCATCCTGTCAGCTCACAGAAGCCATCTGAGCAGTATACGATCGGGTACGACGGTACTTGTGCGTTGCCCAGGACGAAGTTGCTGTCTAGAGTGAAAGAAATAGGGATTACAATTATATTTTATTATATAATCTATATGACTATAATTATTTTGTTGAAGTTTTTAATATTTAATATTAAATCCAATTTTATCTTGAGGATCAATCGAGGATAATTTTAAACATTTTTGTAAATGGTGCTAGTCCTGATAACAATTATTTTTGTTTGTTTTCCGCAAAAAATATATAGGTATTTAACAAAATAAAGAAAAATCTTGAGACTAAAGAATAATTTATCTCTTGTGTTCCAGAAAACCTTCAGATGTGAGATAATTTATTAAAATAGTGAATAAGCTACAGAATATAAAAATATAGGTTAAACATTATTATACAAAAATTTCTAGATATTTATGTCAGTTTAGTACTAGTAAAGAAAATCACAACTGACAATACACACGTTTGGTTTAGTTTGTAGTGACTAGTGACCCTACTTGCTGTGCCAGCGGTCGCGGGTTCGATTCCCGCTGGGGCATTCATTTGTGTGTATCCATAACACAAGTCTTGTAGCTTACCATGGAACTAGATGGTGGTGTGTTAACGTCCCAACATATTTATTTATTATTTATTTAATAGACAGCGCTGTGGTCAATTTACCAGCTACCACCACCGCTAGTTTCGTGTCCTGCTAGTATTATTGCAGGAAGAATAATTTGTAGGTTATAGGTATAATTTTTTTACTTTATCTATATTTATTATATTATATATTTTATATATTTCAATATATTACTGCCTTGGTGGTGTAGTGGCTAGCATGTACGGCTGCACACTCGGAGGTCCTGGGTTCGAGTCCCGGGTCAGGCCAAGTTTAGTTATTGAGTCTTTCTGTATAGTAAAGTCTCAGTAACACCCCGGAGTAGGTAAGTTGGCGGTGTTTCACCCCCGTACCTCGGAGAGCACGTAAAGCCGTCGGTCTTGCGCCTTAACGTTGTGACACTGGTCGTGTCGAGCAGTCGTCCCACCGGAGTATGAGAATGACAGGAATAGAGAGTGCACTTGTGTCTGCGCGTACACTTGTGCACTATAATATCTCCTGTGCAGTTGGCTAGTCTCAATGAGATTTACCGCCGTAGCCGGAATCGGCTAGGAGAACATCATCATTTTTATTGTACTGATTAAATATACATTCCAACATGGTTTCATATTACAAAGAAATAAAAAACAGAATAAATTAATTAAATCTCACGTGTTCATTCAGACCACGTTCTGGTCATTTGTGTTAATGTTGGCACATATTGTTTTTTATACCTGCGTATAAAGATTTACATATTATACAAAATGTATGTTTGTAAACCAAATATAGAATAAATTACGTTTTTTAATTTATGTAATACTAGCATTGCCCGCGGCTCCGCCCGCGTTCATATGACCAAAACCTAAATTCTTAGGTTTTACATATTAGTTATCTTTTATGCACTTTATGTATTTTTTCTCAAAAATGAGATATTTTCCCGCGTTAAAAAGTATGTTGACCCGGATAACCAGCTATCATCATACCAAATTTCACCAAAATCCCCCCAAGGTGGTTTTTCTGTGATGCGGTAACAGACAGACAAAAGTTCTAAAAAGTATAGATTCGGCCTCTGTATCGATAATAATGTTTATTTCAATAAGATTTTCCAAAAAATATTTAATGTACATATTCGGCTTAGTTACAATTTTACTCGTATATAGATATACATTTTGGATTAAATAAGAGGGTTTAGATTTAATTATTTAAGTTACAATATAAGGGATCTCAGGAATGATCTCGGTATTGTGGGGCGTAGAACATTAGCTGCTATAAAAATATATATTGTACCACAAGTTTTTTACATGTTCTATTTTCTTAAAAATTCTTTTAATTTTTTTTTCTAAACAATGTGTACAAGTAGCCGTTGGACCATATCTTGCGGGTGAACCTCAGGAAAATACCTACGCGTAAAATATATCAATTCATTGGTATATAGAAGTGGAAGAATAAATAATATGATTGTGATTGTAAACGAGAGCCATGCAGGTATTGCGACTGAACACGCATTGTTTATAATAAAAGTAAAACGAGCAAAAATAAAAGAGCGTCCTATAGGTACTAGTAATAAACAGCATTTTATACTTAGAAAGTTAATTAAAACGTTAACATACAACAGACAACAGTATAGTACTGTAGGGCGCACTATAATTTAATTCAATTATTTCGCTAAATTAAGCTAAATGCGGATCCTCTAAACGATATATGCGTGTTGTTTCAACAGAATGTAACAGTGAAATACCGGCTAATTGAATTTCATAACCCAATCTAGCTTTGTTCGTAGATGGTAATGTTCGAGTTACAGTTTGAGGCTTCGAGCAAGTTTAAATTGCCCTCTCACAGTTCTCTCAGCTGGCAACATACGTCATCCTTTATACTAGCACTGTCCGCGGCTCGGCCCGCGTTCAGATGACCAAAACCAGATTCTTAGGTTTTACATATTAGTATACTCTTACAATGCAGTTTTTGTATTTTTTCTCAGAAATGAGATATTTTCCTGCGGTAAAAAGTATCCTATATGTTGACCCGAATAACCAGCTATCACCATACCAAATTTCATAAAAATCCGTCCAGTAGTTTTTCTGTGATGCGGTAACAGACAGATAGACAGACTGACAGATAGACACAGACAGACAGACAAAAATTCTAAAAACTATAGATTCGGCCTCTGTATCGATAATAATGTCTGTTTCAATAAGATTTTCCAAAAAATATTTAATGTACAGATTTGACTCAGTTACAATTTTATATGTATAGATATTCTTAAAACTAACTGAACTCTCGACTTCATTCGTGTGGATTATCCATGTTAAATTTCAAAGGAGGAGAAAGTGTAATTATTTTTTTAAGAATTTTATTTGTGGTTTGATTAATTTTTTATTTCCTAAAGTTTCAGTACAAGCCACCCTGTGGTTATCTTTTTAATTAATTATATAAACTTGATTTAACTATAGCACATAGTGCAGCATACAGAAAAAAAACTAAACTATGGACCAATGTGAGCTTTCTAGTCTCTACTACTCTTTTTAACGATTTCATGCAAGCTATTTACCAGACTGCGCGACGCAAGGGAGGGTAATGTGTTTATCAGCCTATGTATGTATATATGTATATATATAAATATATATATATATATATATATATATGTATGTGGGTTTGTACCTTTGTGGCACTATTTAGGCCAAACGACTATTCCTTCGTGAACTTGTTTTCATCTTTTTAGTTAGCTTTTACGCAGTCGGGCTTTTTATTTTTACGATATATTTATTTTAACGCGTTGGTTTCTGTGATCGAAAATGAAAAATGGTCACTTAAATGTTTTATTTCTATTACGTGCACGAGAGTCACTTATCATTTCATAAACATAGGTACGCCCACTGTGTACGCACAGTAATAGCTTATTTCATTTAGCATTTCAGCACCTATTCTATCAGTATCACTTTACTTCATTTTATTTTACTATTTAAGTTTTACACGTCTTCTCGTTCTTGAGGACGATTCTCCACAATTGCACGATAAATATTAAAATTAGGGATAATCTATACATGTACAAATAAATAAAATCGATGTGTCTGTTTGTAATGTCAATATAACAGCTTTTTACTGAATGCATATGAAATTATGTATTGTATTTATATGAAATAAAAACAATTTTCAAAAATTTTGTCTGTTGGTTTGTTCTGGCTAATCTCCAAAACGTGTTCCTCCAAAGCTGCACCGATTTTATGGGACTTTCAGTATATAGCTGATATTATAATGATGGATAGCTGATGATATAAGAAGTAACGTAGACTACTTTTATTTTGGAAAAAACAATTACGGTTCCGTGCAAACAAATTAACACCCATAAAACAAAATCCGCGTACTAGGAACTATAGGTAATCGAGACGCATCCGAGCGAAGTGAGGATAAATCTCTCGTGTTTAATAAGACAGCTGACTCCAGTTGATCTCTTAGGTTCGATTAGTCGTCGTGAGGTTGTGGGTGGATGTCCAATTATAGATGGGCTATAAAGATAGTGGTCGGTGAGCATATTGTCTGCCGGAAAGTCGCAGAGCTAACTTCGACAGATGTCACTAGTCTATGTATAATGTTTGTATTAAAGATGTAAAAGAAGAAGAAAGATCAAAAATTAAGATAATCTAGTAATTAGAACTGTTATCACTAAGTCGATAGATAGACTACTGCTATCGTAAGTTCCGAAAACAAACCGAAGGAAAATATACTCATGAAAAGGTCATATTATATTGACACTATTTTTTTTAATTTGTGCTTATAATATTTACCTATTTAAATAAAGAAACACCTCAACATTTGACATTTTTGCGTTTGGTTTAGATATAGAATATAGTGTTATATAATTTTTTATCTTATTTGGATGTCCTCCCTAGCATATAATCTGCTTAGTGTCGGGTGACTACGTAATTATCTACGTCCGTCGTTATACCGCGTATATTTGTAATTTTCACGGATAGAAGCAAAATTATTTCCAAAATCCGTAAGGCAGATATTTAATTTTATATTAAATCGTTTGCTTATTGATATTCGTTAGTTTTCTTATTTGGTTTTAATACAAAGTACATTAAAATGTTTTATTATCGTGATTATTAACATTATGATCATGATTATTAACTTTTAATTTTTTATTGCGCATGTTTTTCGAGGTCAGATTTTTTTATATTAGTTACGAATTACTTAGTATATAGGTTAATGCTTTATTTACTGGACTGAGCTTAAGTTCATTTAACATAAGGTAACTTATTTTAAAATTCGTAGCTGTCTTTATTAATGAATACAGCTACAAATCATTAAATAAGTTAATACATACTTATATATAACAAAAATACACATATACCTATTATAAATGTTAGTCTTGTATGAAACAAAAGACATGAACTAAAACTAATGGGCATACACGTATAACTGTGTAATCATTTGGCATTTTCCTTTCGGTCGGACTAACCATCTTCATTTATCAAAA